ACTTCCTCTTAATCGTCTAAATAGTTAACTTTGTTATAAGTCCAAACGCGCAATGTTGGCATTTGGCAACATACGAGTACTGTTTTTCACTCTAAAATTGTTTTTTAATTTTAAAATCTATTACTTAAATTTATTTCATATAATATAAAAAAGTCGCACATTTGAGGGATAAACCTGCTCGAGCGACTGTTTGTTCTAAAGCACCGTTCTTCATATTTAGTCGGAACTTACATCAGTTTAATCATTGCTTTGAATTTAACAAAGATATAAAAGAGTTTTAAAAAAATAGTTTTTTGAAGTGACTGAAGTGATGCATTGAAGTGACACACGAACTCGAACTTACAGTCCTGTTAAAAGCCCTAATTTAAATAATGAAAAGTGACAACTGCAGCTCATGCAAGTTGCCATGATAAAGCACTTTTTTAACAGGAGGATAAATCAATTTTTTCTATAACTTTTTTTTCTCTTTTAAAAAAAAACGTTACCCCCACACTAGGATTTTCTCCTGTGTCGTGGAGGTAGTTTAGAAACATAAATTGCACAAGGACAAACATCCAGACCCGGAACAATTATTTGTAGGCCATACAAATACTTGTTCCGTGCGGGATTCGAACCCGCGGCCCCCAGCGCTACAACTCATTGCTAAGCCACTGCGCCACGGAGCCGTAATAACTAGTTTAAGTCTGCACAAAATAATATATAAATGTTGTGTGAACCAACTACGCGTTTAATTAACTTTCTTGCAGTAATCTAAAATAAATTTTGAGCAATTCAATAAAGGATTGAAGAAGATTTAGAGGAGTCGAGGTCATTTGGAAAAATAATTCACTTACATTCAATCTTTCCCCTTAAGAAATGTTGCAGATCAAACTAATTAGGCTGATGTTGTTTTCATTTCATCAAAAGGCGTCTTGCCAGCTTGAATAAGACGTGGAGGAGATAATTAAATTTGCCTACACCGCTACTGACGATCTTTGAAGCGAGATCTTCTGCAAATACAAACATCGATGTTCTCGCTAGGAGCTTTAGTACGAAGTAAATGGATAAGTAAAAGTCTTTTAAGAAACAAGTAACAAATTAAAAATCTTTAAGCGGGATTAAAACAAAAGTATATCACAAAATAAAATCTTATAATGATTTAAAGACGAAAACTACGGGAGAAGGATACCATTTCTGTTTAGGAATCCAACTGAATAGGTACACTATTTGGCGGCAGAAAATTTCTTTGAAGTTATCCAAATATGTCCATGGACTGCAGTAGCCTGTAGTATGTAGGCTGTAAGTCAACTTGATAATTAGTAAATCCTATTTCTAATCAGTTTTACTTTAACGAGGCCATACAATCATATTTCTCACGTGTGAAATCGTAGATGTAGACGTATTTTAGATCCTAATCGAAATAAGATGTGGATTTTTTACGCTGTAGCGCCATGTTGCAGCTATATTATTAATAAAACTAGACCCCATACCGCCTCTGTAAGACATATAGTTGCCTAATCTTGTCAGTCAGCCGACGGATGGAATGGATTGCTTCTATCGGAACAATTTGGAACTTCATCAATCACCAACGAGAGGTGACCCGAATGTAACGGCGCTGAAGGATCAATTCAACTAAAACGCCTTTTTGTTGATCCTGATGGATAGACAGCTTCTTAATCAGTGATTGGCGGCTCGTGAGTACATCTTAGTTCTAGGCTAAAACCTTTCTGCACGAGGTTATTCCGTTATTAAATTAAATGAAGCAGGAGTTTATATCATTTTTTTTTTACGAATATGATAATAATAAAAACATGCGTGAGTGTCGTGGAACACTCGGTTGGAACGAAGTTCCTTATTATTGATAAACGTATAATATTATCAATTAACAAATACAAATAAACGTATTACTAGCGTCTATTAAAATGAAGCGTCATTTAAAATAAAATACACTATGACACAAGGGGTAGTGACGAAAAAATCTTACACATTTTGTCGCTTAGCTCCCATCCGCCAAACCCATACCGTCCGATAAGGAACTTTCGTTCGAATAATTTCCAGCAGGCCGAATTTTCAGTCACGGCTGCCAATTTCCACGGACATTAGCCATCTGCGCAGGACAGGTGCTTCTACTCCCTCACTCTCATAATCCGATGGGACGGCAAAGCGACGGTAGACCTTCAGCTGTTTTGTGCGTTTCAATCTATTTCATTCGTAAGACTAAAGTATGTAGTAACAATAATTTATTAATTTATGATAATGAATCACGCCTACTCTCATTTTTAAGAGGTTAATGCACCTGGGAAAGTCCGCCGCGCTGTTTCTATGCGGGCTGGCTGAGCGAAAGTTCTAGAAATAGTTAGTATTTCTACAGACTATCTTATTATGACTTTCTATATCGTCAAGAACGAGGAAAATTATTGAGCTAAGGTAAGAGTATCCTACAACGCTGTAGATCCAGGACTCGAATCCCTGCGAGGATATGATTTGTATTTTATGTCAAAATGAAATGAAATGAAGTGAATAAAATACGATGCAGGGAAAGGAAAAAAAACGAAACAATATAAAAATATAATAAATTCAAATCCGTTTAGATAAGTAGTTTCTCTTTCTTGTTGTAGATTGTTCCGGCTATATTCGGATACGGGTAGGTTATGAATAATAACCATTCCTTGTTAATATAAAAAAGGATGAATTTGTACTTCCTCTTAATCGTCTAAATAGTTAACTTTGTTATAAGTCCAAACGCGCAATGTTGGCATTTGGCAACATACGAGTACTGTTTTTCACTCTAAAATTGTTTTTTAATTTTAAAATCTATTACTTAAATTTATTTCATATAATATAAAAAAGTCGCACATTTGAGGGATAAACCTGCTCGAGCGACTGTTTGTTCTAAAGCACCGTTCTTCATATTTAGTCGGAACTTACATCAGTTTAATCATTGCTTTGAATTTAACAAAGATATAAAAGAGTTTTAAAAAAATAGTTTTTTGAAGTGACTGAAGTGATGCATTGAAGTGACACACGAACTCGAACTTACAGTCCTGTTAAAAGCCCTAATTTAAATAATGAAAAGTGACAACTGCAGCTCATGCAAGTTGCCATGATAAAGCACTTTTTTAACAGGAGGATAAATCAATTTTTTCTATAACTTTTTTTTCTCTTTTAAAAAAAAACGTTACCCCCACACTAGGATTTTCTCCTGTGTCGTGGAGGTAGTTTAGAAACATAAATTGCACAAGGACAAACATCCAGACCCGGAACAATTATTTGTAGGCCATACAAATACTTGTTCCGTGCGGGATTCGAACCCGCGGCCCCCAGCGCTACAACTCATTGCTAAGCCACTGCGCCACGGAGCCGTAATAACTAGTTTAAGTCTGCACAAAATAATATATAAATGTTGTGTGAACCAACTACGCGTTTAATTAACTTTCTTGCAGTAATCTAAAATAAATTTTGAGCAATTCAATAAAGGATTGAAGAAGATTTAGAGGAGTCGAGGTCATTTGGAAAAATAATTCACTTACATTCAATCTTTCCCCTTAAGAAATGTTGCAGATCAAACTAATTAGGCTGATGTTGTTTTCATTTCATCAAAAGGCGTCTTGCCAGCTTGAATAAGACGTGGAGGAGATAATTAAATTTGCCTACACCGCTACTGACGATCTTTGAAGCGAGATCTTCTGCAAATACAAACATCGATGTTCTCGCTAGGAGCTTTAGTACGAAGTAAATGGATAAGTAAAAGTCTTTTAAGAAACAAGTAACAAATTAAAAATCTTTAAGCGGGATTAAAACAAAAGTATATCACAAAATAAAATCTTATAATGATTTAAAGACGAAAACTACGGGAGAAGGATACCATTTCTGTTTAGGAATCCAACTGAATAGGTACACTATTTGGCGGCAGAAAATTTCTTTGAAGTTATCCAAATATGTCCATGGACTGCAGTAGCCTGTAGTATGTAGGCTGTAAGTCAACTTGATAATTAGTAAATCCTATTTCTAATCAGTTTTACTTTAACGAGGCCATACAATCATATTTCTCACGTGTGAAATCGTAGATGTAGACGTATTTTAGATCCTAATCGAAATAAGATGTGGATTTTTTACGCTGTAGCGCCATGTTGCAGCTATATTATAGTTGTAGCACGAATGGGTAGGCTCGACCGGGAATGGATTACGCTCTCACAGAATACTAGCATAATTTTTTTTATAGAATACGGATGACAAACGAGCACACCAACCATTTACCATCAGGTGGAATACCTGATGGTAAATGGTTGCTGTGGCCCATAGACATCTACATCTATTCTCATTTGCTAATCAAAATGCAGATGTGTTGTCAGCCGCATTTTATGCTGGTATTCTGTGAGAGCGTGCTCCTTACCCGATCTAGCTGACCCATTCGTGCTACAACCATATTTATATAGCTGCAGCATGGCTCTACCACGTAAATAAAATAGAAGCTTAATGCTGCTGTGTTTCGTATGCTGAGTGTAGAGAACCGGAGACCCTTTTTACTGAAAATGAGACATTCCATCTTAGTTCTCACGGGTGACGACGGCACCTGGAGCCAACTGTGGCCAATATACCACATATGTATAAGTCAAACTATGGGTGGGCCTATTTTCAGTAGTGGACTTTTGATATACTGTAACGGGTATGTGACTACGGGCCATATACACCACTTTACACGATTGTTACCCGTATAATAATATTGTGTTCAAATATGTTATACATGTAAGTCTATTGTAATCGTTGTTTCTTTATCCTTAAAAAGGCGAATGTTGCAATATTGCACCTAGTAAAAGAAACCCTAACACCTTAAGTTACAATCTATAACACATCCTTACTAATGATCAAATATATCAGAATGAAATTGAAATAAACAAACTTTGATTAGAGCTTGAAATCTAAAGAATTTTCTTGTCGGGGATAAGTTTCGTATATAAACGAGTACAGAAGTTTTAAAACGATTGATTATTAAGCCGTCTTAGAGCCAAGTTTTTGTGAAAATGAAACAATTGTTTTTAGTATATTTTTTCACTTTTTTACATATCACTTTTGCTGGCAAAGATGTTCCTATGTACAGAAGTTATGAAAATTATAAATGTTTAAAAGTTCAGGGACACAGAAACGCTATTGAAATACTAAAAAACGTATTGCAACAGAATGATGTAAGTAATGGATGTTTAGAATGTGTTTGAGTTTAATTTTTTTTTTATTTTAATTTTAGGAAACTATGTAAATGTAAGGAAAAAACCCATACGCACGAATTTCCTTTAGTAATTTTTATATAATATTTTATTATATACAATATTAAAAACTATAATTAAAAAAAAACTAAAACTAGTAACTTAATTATCATTCCGTCGTACCCCCCGCGGTATTGTGCCAAGAACGCTGGCTACGTTTCCTCGCTGAATGGCTATACTTAGCCTTTAAGCGAGAAAAGAACCAGCCCTCTTATCACCAGCAGCAACGACCAGCCGTGGATTTAGTTCCTTTAGGAACTTCACCACACATGGACCCCATGGACCGATAGTCTCTACATCAAATGGCATAAATATGTAGTCATCTCTCAGAGACTCATATTTGCGCCACTTATTCAGTTCAGCTGCCTCTAATGCCGTCCTGGCTCTAAACGAGATACCCCTGAGATGAAAGGCCGCCAGAGTGTGTACGCAAGTAGTATTCCACACTATGGCTTTACTTCTCTCCCAAGGGACTAATGTCATACCGTCGGGTCTCTTGCCATCGTCTCTAAATATTCCGCAAGGCTCTAAAACCGAGGGAATAATATTTTTATTAGTGTTCGTCAGTATTTTTATCCGATTGCGACATAGTCAAAAAAGGGTAACATTATATATTCCCTTCCTTAGTATATAATAATGTATGTGTCGCTTCTCAATATATTCCGTCTTCTGATATCGTTGACAGTGACAGGTACTCTGAGAAGTAGAATGACTAACATTTAACCACCGGTACACGTACTCGTACGTTAATTAGTTAGTTTCTTCTAGCAGCGGTATAATTTCAAAATCTTTTATCGTCTATTTATGATACAAAGGCCACAAATATTTAAATTAATAATACAATTTATTATGGTAATTAATGCTCAATTAAATCAAATAAAAGTCAATGAATACTGTCCAAAACTTAACTTACGTTTACGAAAAAATATTATAAGATTAGCGCCATTATAATTTATTTTATCAGTATAATTTAATTATTTTTTAAAAATGCGTACTTAAAATTTCGAACACATTTTGTAATAAGCCAGAATGTTTTATTATGTGTCAGTATTATTTTATTATGATTAAAACCTCTTCAATATTAATCTTTTCATGAAGAAAGAAAATGCCTTTCCTATTACTTGTAGCAAAATTTTATCACTCTATAACACCGTTTCCTAGGATACATTGTCATACAACGAGGCACGAGATGGAACTGAATTTGTCGTATCACCCAATTTACAAGCGATTCTTAATGACAATATCGCTCGAGGGAATTTAACTGTGTCAGTTATCTATGATGATATATCTAAGTAAGTGATTTTTATTTCTTTATAACTTGCTTTTAACTATCTGGTTATACTTAATAGATCTTCGAATGTTTAAGGCATTTTATTCTATAATTTTAAGTTTAGCTGCTGGAGTGACTTCTCGCATCCAACCATAGTTTTAATCAAGGCTGGGTGCGGGAATTCGACTCCACTTCAGCCTCGAGTTACGAACTACACACACTACAATTAAGGCACAGAGTGCCAAATAAGAGCAAACTTCTAGAGTATGCTGCTCTGTATCCTCGTCGCCACCATAGTAGCAGCGCTCGTTTAAAAGCTCTTTTTTGGCAATATGGTACAAGAATTTACCAAATCGTCCATGCTCAGAAGGTTACTGCACCTACCGGAAAGACAATGACTCGTGCCACCTGTTAATCCAGTCTGACAGGACGAGAGGAATAGTCTCAACATTTCTGTTTACCTCGGGTAGACCAGTCGCCTTACCTCACTTTTTAAACAAAACTGCCGTACCTACTTCCGCATCTCCAATCCTCTAGAATAGGATGGCACCAATGGAGCAAGGAACTCTGCATACAAGACCCAAGGAGAAAACGAAACGTGTTTCTAGCTCTGAGACCAAGCTTAGTGACCTCAAAGCTAGTTGAGGAACAGTTTGATCGCCCTGGTTCGTTTTGAAATAAATTCCGGATCGTGCGTGTATCGTAGGCAATGAACAAGCTAGCATGGGAGGGTTCTAGGAGTACACAATTTAGACCCGTCATCTCTAGTTTCATTTCCTTATGTTGCCTTGACTGCCTTGTTGGTCTAGTGGTTGTAGTAGTGCGACTGCTGATCATGAGGTCCCGGGTTTGTATCCCGTGTCGGGCCAAACAATATCAGTTATTGAGTTTTTCCATCAAGAAATTCTCAGTAGCTGCCCGGAGTTAGGAAGTTGGCGGTGTCTCACCCCCGTGTCTCGGAAAACACGTAAATCCGTTGGTCCTGCGCCTGATCTCTCTCCGGTAGTGTCGGTTGACTGTCCCATCGGATTTTGAGAGTGAGGGAATAGAGAGTGCACCTGTGCTTGCGCATACACTTGGACACTATAATCCTGTCCTGCGCCGATGGCTAGTCTCCGTTGCGGCAGGCTTCCGTGACCGAAATTCGGTCTGGAGGACATTATATATATACATACAGCACGAATTCGTCGGCTCTACCGGGGAGGATCAGGCTCTTGCAGAATACCAGCGTAAACGAGCACTATGATGCTGAACCAGCGAGTCTTTTTAAAGTGTTAGTCTATATTTTATACTTAATCGATGTCAACAAGCCACAAAATCCAATTAGTATTAACTGTTTTGAGTATCCGTTTGTTACCCTCACTTGTAAAAAAAGTAAAAGGGACCGATCTAAATCCAGCAGGCTTACTCCTGACATTGTTTTTGAATTTGATTCGGTTTTCGATTCACTAGCGTTGTTTGGAACCAGCCTTTAATTATGAAAATGCCTTCAATCTGAATAAAGAAAGGTATTGCCTTTGTAAACATCAATAAAAATTCATACGAAATTTCGAAATGAAATCTTTAATAAAAGAAATTGACAAAATAGAATAATGAAGAAGCGATAGTGAAAATTATTAAATATTTTACTGTAAAATTAAAGGACTATTAATGTAGTCTAAACTAATCGTAAAAATTTTTAATTTTTAGAATTTTGATGTCGTAGTTTTTGATATGTGTTTTCTTAATGTTACGGTAAAATAAAGATCTCGTTTACACCAGATGCAGATATCGAAAGTTTAGGCGACGAGCAGCAGCGCTAAAGGTGCAAGTCCTCTCGTGGGCAAATCCCCCTTTGGGATAGGCCCATGTGAGGCAGTGGTCCTCCACGGGCTGATGATGATGACGAAGAAGATAATAGAAGGGTATTAGCACCCGCCTTTAAATTTCACCGCATAAGAGCGAAGAGTGTTTATTCCCCATCGGCAGAAATGAAATTGTTAATTACAATATTAAGAGCTGATTTACGACGTGCTATTCGGTAAAGGGAAGGAAATAAAAAAGTGGACTCTTTTCTGCTAGAACCCTCTAAGAAATGAGAAACCTGTGCTAAACAGTGTGACGTTTATATAAGTTGTTAGTTCATCATTTTTCCTATTTTAGGTGATTTAGTGTACAAACTAAGTATAAACGTGCAGCGGGGTATTTAAAGTTCACGACTAATCCACCCCCTGTTGTTTTATCGTTAGCAAAACGGGCTTACTCGCATACCCCGGGGCTACTGAATTAATGTGATTAATGTGTTATTTTCTTAAAATTATGATTTTGTTTTAAGTTTGCGGATTTTTGTAAAGTTAATAATTACTATAATGAATGTTGCCTTTTATTAAAATATTAGACTTGTAGTAATAATTTAAGGCATGTAGGAATTGTGAATTATGAATTTAACAATTATGTTAGGACAAAATCTTAATGATAGGGTGAGAAATATTATGATAAGGTGAAAAAAAGTGTGGTTTTCAAGAAGAAATTGTGACTAAGATTAACAAAATAATTCATCGGTGATTTGGATATAGAAATAATGATTTAGGAAAAAGTGAGAAAGCAAATTTATGCCCGAGAAGTGTGTGGCAGAGTCGGCAAGGGACGCCCTAGACCAGGGGTCGGCAACCTTTTGAGTCGGAAGAGTCAAAACTTACAATTTACAAAATTTCAAAGTTTTTAAAGAGTCACAATTTTTTTTTGTTAGTTGGCTTCTTACTTTACTTTTATTTATATTCATGCAAGAGAACGCTTGCTCGCACGAATATGTCGATCCGAAGATAGTCAGCACTCCAAATACCAACTTCTTCAACTCACTGTAGCAATCTGGAAGACTATTCCATGCGTCGAAAATAAATGCTTCAACTTGCGGCATTTCTTTTTTTTTTGGTACTAGGCGAAGTTTTCCCGAGAAATATTGGCACGGCTGGTATATAAGGCATCACCACTGGTGACAGCACTGGTGATTAACCAGTGCTGTCGTCTGCATAGCAATGAATGTTACTGGTTTGCAACATATCATTTATATGCAGGAGAAACAGCGCTGGTGATAGCACGCAGCCTTGTGGAACACGAGCGTTAGTAGGCTTGTAAGCAGAACATGCACTGACCACGACCTTGATGCTCCGATCAGCAAGGAAAGTGGTTATCCATGTGCACAATTTCTCGGGAAGCCCATAGGAAGGAAGCTTCGAAAGAAGCGCTTTGTGCCAGACCCTTTCGAAGGCCTTCGCTATGTCCGAACTAACGGCCAATGTCTCCACCTTGGACTCTACTGCCTCCGCCCATCTATGAGTCAGGTAGACCAGAAGATCACCAGCTGGTCGACGAGAACCGTACTGGCGGTCACTAATCAGCTGGTGATCTTTAAGGTACCTCATGAGCTGGCAGTTTATAATGGATTCCATTATTTTGGAGAACAAGGAGGTGATGGCGATAGGCCTGTAGTTAGACGGATCTGAGCAGTCAGTCGCCTTTTTAGGAATCGGGTGGACCAAAGCTGTCTTTCATGAATTCGGGAGTAGGCGTACCGGAAAAGACGCGTTGAAACTGGTGCCAACCGGAGCACACGTCTTCAGCACAACGGGAGGTACTCCATCACGCCCACTCGACTTGCTGACGTCCAGAGAGAAGAGTGCTTTGCGAACCGAGCGCTGTGTAAACCGCACATCCGGCATGGAACACACCGCGGGATGGTCGGCGGTGTATTCCCCCCGACATCTAGAGTCGAGTTGGGCGCAAAGAGAGCTTAACAGATCGGCTTTCTCCTTTGCGGCATGGGCCAGTGAGTTGTCCTCTCTGTGCAGAGATGGAAGAGATGGCTGACAGAAGTTCCCTTGGACAGCCTTGGCGAGACACCAGAATGCACGGGTTCCTGAAGGAAGGCGAACTAGCTTCTCGCCAATTCTGCCGATGTGCTCAGACCTTGGCAATGACTTTCTTGAAGAACTTGGAGACGGAATTATACTTCTCTTTAAGAGCGATGGTGTTTACATGCCGAGACGATGATGCGTCAGCCCAGGCCCGGTAGCACTCCTGCTTATAACGTGATGCTATTTTACAGGAGCGACCAAACCATGGCTGTGATCAGCCTCCGATGGGCACCACAGATTTCTTTTAAAGCTGTTAATTTTATGTTGTGTTACGTACATACATTTCTAGATCTCCAATTCTTTCAGATTCCTTTTAAACTCTGTAAATTTTCATCTCCACAAAGCTTTATATTTTAAATCGATCAATTGCATTTCTAGAGATCCAGTATCAACTCCAAATGGCTGAGTGTGGATCGATTTTTAAATGTTTTTTTTATAAAATAAATAATATTTGTGTATGAAACTATAGAGCCGCAGCTTCACATCCAAAGGACCGCATGTGGCTCGCGAGCCGTAAGTTGCCGACCCCTGCCCTAGACGGATTTATGTCTGCCAAAATGGCCGTGCACTACATATAGGACATTGTTATTGTCGTACTATTGTGTCTGAAAACCGGACAATGAAAGTGGTAAAGATCGGCTAAGTTAAGAGTTCCGTTAACCGACAATCATATTACCTATGGATGTAAAGGAAGACCGAGAGGCAATTCAAGTTCGTGCTAAATGGAAGTCCGTAGTCTCTGCCTACCCTTCTGAGTCACTGGCGTGAGAGTTTATGTTATAAAACTGTGTCCTTTAACATGATCAGGGGTAACAACGTTACAAAAAGTTTTAAAACCGCTGTCATTACCATTTTTCTCAAAGTGACTAAGTAATTTCAAACACGCGGTACGTGGTAGAGACACAATGCAGTTATATTATGGTTGTAGTACGAACGGGTCGGCTCGACCAGGGAAGGACCACGCTGTCACGGAATATCAGCGTTAAATAGCAGGTTATTGCTGCTGTGTTGTGTTTGCCGAGTGTAGAGAACCGGTGACCCTTTTACTGCAAACGAGGCATTTGCATTTTAATACTTAATTGAAGATAAATGTATGTCCATGGCATGCATGCATTTACCATCAGGTGGACTGTGTGCTCGTTTGTTACTCTTATCCTATAAAAAAAGCCCGAGGGATACTTGGACATAACTTTTTTTTATTATTAAAGTTATTTTAATAAATATTTCGTTCAACTGACCAGGTAATGTGAAGTATTTGTATGTCATTGGTCATAATGTATAAAATGTATCCTGATTATCTCTCACTCTACTGAAAGACCGTCTCTTAGGCCTAACCATTTACATTTCTTCATATTTAAATAGTTGATTTTTTTGTAGAATAATACAACTGGAAAAGCCTGTGATACGACGCAGCAATGATTTCTCTTGGACTGCATACTACGATATCGATGATGTAAGTTATGTTCGCATATACAGACATTTAAGGTATTTAAAAACAAGTAGGTATACGTTAATTTTTTTTGTATGTGCTTATAATTGATGAAATGATTTTCATAGGTAGGTATCATAAGAGGTGACTATGTGAAAGGACTATAGGAATAATGTTCATTATAATATCTTATTTAATGGTTATTTATTAATAATATCATATATAATTAGATTAATAAATAAATAATCACTGATAGGCAGAAATAATTTACTTTTATACAAAAGTAATTAACTTTAGTTGGGTGGTGCTCAAATAATTTGTACCATACCGCTCTAGAAAGAGTAACACACTGGAAATTATGTAGCACGCTAGAACTCTGTAAAGGCAGGACTATATTGTACCAGAACTTATTAAAAATCTTACCATATTAACACTTTTTTTTTAGTTTTCAAGGGTTCTTCAAGGAAAATGTTCTTTCAAATTTTCTTCTAAAAAAAATATTTACACTTTTTTTTTAGTTTTCAAGGGTTCTTCAAGGAAAATGTTCTTTCAAATTTTCTTCTAGAAACATTATTATAAATTGGTTTCAGTGGTAACTTTCCTATATAAAAAAATGTTGTATTAAATCAAGTAATTGTTTGTTTTTCTTTATAGATTTTTATAGAGTATTTTCGAGTATGTTAAGATTTATTTGGGGTGCTTCTATGACAACAGAAGAGGGAGAGAGAAGACACGATTATAATTACATAATATGCAGATTTATTCACATTCAAGCAAAAAAATTATACCCGCTTTTGGGCTCTACCGCAGTCGGTTAAAGGCAATGTAAACTAAGCTTTATGCTATCCAGTGTGTTATGTAACACACCATGTAACACAACATAACACACCAGACCGAACACGCGAGAAGATTCTTGTGTTTGTATGATTAAAGCAGCCGCAAATTCAAAGCAATTTTAGAAATAAAACCATAATATACGACTTAAAAGGATATTTGTTTAGTATCTATGCTTCATATAATAAAAGATAAACACATACCATGCAAATTTTGTGTTTAAAATATAATATTTTCGATGAACAAAAGGAACGCTGCAAATACCCTCACTTTTGTAGCTAGACTAAAATGGCTGACATTAAATTGACACTTGAAAGATGTTGTTATAAGGTGTTGCCATCCTACCAAACAAGTTTTAATGTGATTAGAAATAAACTACGAAAGTTATCGTGGTACACATTACTCGTAATGCACTGGAAAATTATTAGGGACACTTGTTTAAATTTGTAATTTCGCAAGAAATTGTAAGATTTTGCGAGAATTTCAGACATAATACTATAATGTAATTCCTATTCTAATAATTAAGGTTAAAATAAATAACAATAGAGACGTAATGATAAAAAAAATAATTAATACATTGTCGGCGGACAGCCCCGGGACGTTTAAGTTTTGTATGGAGCAAAAAAAATAAAAGATTTGAAAGTTTTGTAAATTAAAATATTGACTAAATTGAAGATTTATGGATTCCACTTGCAACTATCTTTTTTGATGTCTTCATTTTAATGCAGCAACTAAAATTCGATAAAAAGCTCTTAAAAAATATTAAAATTTAGGGGTAAACAGATGGCCACAATTTTTTTTCAAAAGGTACAAATTTTTTGAGCCCCACCCAGTTTTGTTGATATTGATGTTCTGTTCCATTTCATTTCACGTGAAGTAGTTATTGACAGGAGATAGCAAAGAGTATAATGTTCTTGTAGGGTAAAAAGTGGCAGTTCTCTCACTTTATGTTTAACTGAACTTGGAACAGGCTGAAAATTAACAAAGTAAAAGTTTGACTTTATATTATTAATATTTTATTTATTTACACTCGAGATTGTCTGAGAATTCCAGCCTTATTGTAATGCAAAAGTAAGCCCCCGCACTTTAAGTGCTATACTCCACACCCACAATGTGATGTGAGTGTTATAAGCCTGATACCAGTTTTTAATTTCCGACGTTTCGGATAGTAATAAAATATTTAAAATCAATAAACATTAGTTTTATTCAACCAGTAATGGTTATTACTTAGTGTTGGCGACGCGCTTAAATAAATAGTTTATCATTTTCCATTTTATAAAAAATAAACAATTTCATGTTTTGAAGATATTGCTATTAACTTTTACAAGGCACTTCGAATAAAGAGATAATCTATGTTAAAAGTGAATATATTCAATATAATGTCGAACGAAAGTTGGAGTTCCCCGGTCGAGAGTAAATTTCATAAAAGTTTGTTTTTAGATTAATTTAGAGTCATGCGTTTCATAGTAATCAACTATGCAATACGAATAAGTCTTATATTAAATTAGATACTTATTTTAGATGAAAATATATTTTGGCTCTTGTGATAAGAAGTGACAACTTACTTTATATGTTTATAGTTATTTATATATACATTTCTTGAGATATATATGTATAAGCGTGTGTATTTATTTATATTTGTATATGAATTATATATATTTTATATATATGTGTATATTTTATGTATGTGTTGCATGTATTTATTTGAACTGAATTATATCATTACAACTTAACTGCCCAAACTCACTCTCTGTTCTACCCAAGGTTAGCTGGTAGAGAATGCCATGTAGCATTAAGCTCGCCTTTTGTACAAATATTTGGTGCAATAAAGAATAAATAAATAAAATAGATAAATAAGAAATAAGATTCATTATGGCTGATAAGTGGTGTGATCTTAGTTTTGGGGTAGAACGTCAATGATTGACTAATCCCTGTCTGTTGCACCCTTTCACTTAGATAAGTAATAACGATTGCTGGCATTAATGACTGGCTTCAACAGATGTTGAAACCAGTCATTGGCTACATAAATTGATATTTCTGTTATGAAACTTTTGAGAAAGAAAATAGTTTAGTAAGTCTAGACTAATTCACACCCGCTCCTTTTCACATTACTACGTCTAATAGTTGAGTGGTTTGAGAGTCTGTTTTATGCGTATAGTTGTGCCATAATAAAATGTTCCTAATTTGTTTTATTATTTGAAAGCTACCTTTCGGTTGATACTGAGGAAATTGATTGAAAATGTATGTGTAACTTTTTGCAGATATATCGCTTTTTGACAAACACAAGTAGGACGTACTCAAAATTATCGGAGCTTATCGTCGGCGGTCAGAGTTATCAGGGACGCTCGATTCTGGGATTGCGGATAAATACGCCTGGGAAAACGAATACGCCTAAACCAGTCTTCTTTATTGAATCGGGTATCTACTTATGAAGATTTTAATGATAAGCAGTTTTCTATAATGATACAATTGAGATTCATCATCAATATCATCATCATTACAGTCCATCAAAAGTTCGCTGCTAAATATAAGAAGGCAAAGGTACCGTGCTTCCATCTGCAAGTATCCATTCAAGTCGTCACTCCGTCTAGTGGGGGTTGCCGTAAATCACTTACCGTTACGAATTTGCCACTCTAGAACGTTTTTTTACAGCAAATGGTATTGAATAAAATTAATTTTGCTGATTTAATTTGATAACGGATTAAACTTTTCAGAAGAAGCGGTTAGTTACTGATGAAATCAATTAAATAGATGATAAGATTTTAGCAAAAATAAATATTCGAATGCTTTGTAATCCTTTTGCTGTATGAATTATACAATGGTGAAAGACAACAAAGAGTAGAAGTAAATTATCAATTTACACATTATCATTAGACCCTTGTCATGCAGTATACATTACTAATTGAATTACATAGAGACAGAGTATCTTAATATTCTGTGTGCTGCAAAAAACTCAAATCGTTAGTTTTGGGTTGTGAATAGTTTGTTATCTTTCCTGCGTTTTTGATACTGTATCCACGCCTACATCCGACTTTATCACAAAACGTTACATCGGATACGGCTATACTTAATTAAGTCATAAGGTACTGTCCCAGGGTATACTTAGTAGGAAAGCGAAAGAAGGATCCTAGCCTCGTTCTGACCAGATGTCCTGGAACCTCCATGTAGAGTAACGGTGAAAAACTAGCACACAGTACACCTGATGGTAGATGGTACGTGGACGCTGTGACCAAAAGACAACTAAATCTATTTCCTAATTAAGAATCAAAATACTGATGCTTTGTCAACCCTGGATAAATAAGATGGAATGCCACGTTTCCAGAAAAAGGGCCCGCGGTTCTCAACACTCACCATACGAAACACAGCAGCATTAAGCTGCTATTTTACGCCTTGGCCGACCCATTAGTCCTACGTAAAAGGACGACAGTACATTAAAGTATGTACAAAAGCTTTCTTATGTTTTTGTTTATTTTAAGGTATCCACGCGAGAGAATGGATAGCTCCGGCTACAACTACTTACTTTATAAATGAATTGTTAACAAGCAGTGACCCTAAAATAATGAGTTTAAGGGATCAATTTGACTGGCGCATTTTTCCGTCCGTAAATCCTGACGGGTATCATTACAGTTATACCGTGGTAACGTAAAACTTTATAAACATTATAATATGATGTTCGGAGTGTTTTTTTAAAGAAGAGGGGGCAAACGAGCATGCGGCTCACCTGATGGTAAGTAACTACCGCCGCCCATGAACATCTGCAACACCAGGGGAATTGCAGATACGTTGCCGGCCTTTTAAAATAGTGTAGGCTCTTTTTTTGAAGGTTCCTGAGTCGTATCGGTCCGGAAAAATCGCTGGTGGCAGTCGATTCCACAAGAAAATTGTGCGAGGAAGAATCGCACAGTGGTGAACCGCCAATCATCCAGATGGTATGGATGATTGGATGAGTCGCGAGTTTGTTGCGAAGTGCGATAGTTAAATTGAACGGCTGGAATCGCTCCGAACAATTCCTGAGAGCACTCCCAGTGGTAGATGCGATAAAATACGCAAAGAGATGCAACATCTCTTTGCAGTACCAGTGAGTCAAGCTGATCAGAAATAGCTCGGTCGCCGACGACGACCAGGCGAAATGCAAAAGTAAACTTCTACTTCACGCTGGTATTCTGTGATGTCGTGGTACCACCCTGGTTCGAGCCTGCCTATCCGTGCGACAGCAAAAGCTGCCGCGCGGCTCTACTACTGTTAAAAAATAATGTGTGATGTCGGCTATAGAGAAAAGTAAGTGTGTGTGTGAGTGTGTGTGTGTGTGTGTGTGTGTGTGTGAGAGAGAGAGAGAGAGAGGAAGAGAGGGGCAGGCCACGTCTGTAATGTCACGATATTATGACACTGGCACTGCACGGTTAAACATCAAAATATTTTAAGGTGTCCGTCCTTTCATTCATTAATCTATTAAAGTCCGCTGCTGAATAAAGGTCTCCCCCATAGATTTCCTCATAGGGCGGCTTTGCCATAGAAGACCCATTGACAACCGCTTTTTTATAATTCTAGTTGTTATCTAGATAAAAAAGTATAATTATTAAAGTATGAATATTAAGTGTTATGATTAGGGGCAAACTGTTTGAATTAAACTTACACGTAATGGAAAAATTTACGCGTTAGTTAAAACCCGAGTTTGATCACCATTCTTATATTAATATTTCATATTTCAATTTGAAAAATAAAAACATTATTTGTATATTTAGGATCGACTTTGGAGGAAAACACTTTCAAGATCCAACTACAGATGTTTTGGTGCAGATCCCAACAGAAATTGGAATTACAACTGGGGTAGTAAGTATAATGTTCATATGAGTTATTGTTAACATCTATTACTTTTAAATAAAACTAGTTTTTATGGATTTTATCGCGTATGTTAACTTATTTTATTATCCTGACGTTTCGAGCACTTTATAGCACCCATGGTCATGGGGGGCGACTGAGGCTAAATCGAGATTAAAATTATTAATTTTTGTTCCGATCTACGCAGTATGAACTTACAGTATCTTGAAGTCTTGCAGTTGTATGCTTGGGTTGGAATTTAATTTTATCAATTATAGGATCCCAAGCAGATGGTAACACCCAGCTATCTTCTCTATTGAAATTAGGATATTTTTTAATTTCAATAGCCTCGCGGACCATCCTTGGAAAAAATCGGAAGCGAGGATTTGTGGTCTATCATATTTAATGTAGTGACGGGGGCGATCGTGTGCGTGTTCACAGACTGCAGACTTACATATAAGAAGTCATTAAAATCTATTACTGTTTACACCTTGACATCTTTTTTCTAATTTCTTTCACATAATATTTTCTTACGTCTGGATATGTCGTCTGGTTGGATTATAGATCACTGCAGTTTGTTTCTTTGTTTAAACAATTATTTACTTGTTTCAGAATACTCTTCAACGAATAATCCATGTGATTATCAAACCTATGCCGGGTCGCGGCCATTTTCTGAAATAGAGACACGAACTCTTTCATCGTACATTCAGAGCATTGACAACCTGCTGGTATATGTTAGTTTGCACTCGTATGCTGCGATGCTGTTAATACCTTTCTCAGACTCAACTCAACATGTGGATAATTATAAGGACTTGGTATGCAATTTGTTTATCTTTGATTGTTTACATGTGAATAAAAATTATTGAAAAGAAAGGAAGAGAATGTAAGAATATTTTTATTTTGTTAACATGTTAGCTTGCATATTTTAGTGTCAACTGAGTAAACGATGTAGAGTCACAACCCAATATAACCCGTGGGTGTCGTAATATGCGACAAAAAGAAAGTGAAGCAGAATATTTGATTTGAGTTTTTATATACACAAAGTGAATATTCCACAATCTAATCAAAGTTTACTCTTAGGCATTCTTACTCAGAATACTATTTGTGTTTTAAGTTTTTTTTTATTAAAATAGATTGACAGGCGTAACTACACGAAAACCACTAAAAATATACTTTAAAAAGAATAAATAATATATCTTTGTTTATACTTGTAAAAATATATCCTACTTTTATTACAGGTTAGAGTGGGTAAGCGTTCCATTGATTACGGTTACCAAGTTAACAGAGCAGAAAGATACCAAGGACCGGGTACCGCAGCGGAAATGTTATGTAAGAATAAACATTAGAATGTTTGTAATATAATCACGTGAAATACGCGGTAGAGCCACGCTGTAACTATTTTGTGGTTTCAATATGAGTGGGGCTGCTTATGTTGATAAGTATATATGATACAATAGTTATGGGATGTATATATATCTAAGTGACCTTTATCCGAACGCTATATGTGAATAGCGTTTATTGGTTTCGGTGCGAGAAGTTATCGAATCCGAGTCGATTTCGCTTTCCGAGACGATTGTGAATAGCCCGGCTGGTGGTGAACCATTCTTAACAAAAATTTTTAAAACTTACTTAGAGTCGTTAACAGTATTAATAGTTATGTTAATAGCGATACTAGTATTTTTAAATGTCTTTTTAAAAAGTTTCATGTAAATTTGAATTGATTTAAACGTAAATATCTTCTTCACTAGCCAGTTTAGAGATGATTTTCCATTAGCACCACATTTGGTAAACGGATTGGCGATCGTAGAACAAGATGTCTCTTTGTCGCTGTTACGTATTTTACATCTGATTCACTAGTGAGAGAAAAAAATATATGTGAAAACGTGTAAAGAAGCCATACCATTGTAGAAGTTTTGGTATGTCGTTTGCAGAGTTATCTTATACTTATTGTCGTCATCGTCGTATACATCATTACAGCCTTTTACATGTCCACTGCTGAATATAGGGCTTCCCCAAGTAATGCCACAAATTACAGTCCTGAGCCACCTGTGTCTATCGACTTCCTGTGAATCTTACCTTTTAAAATGGTCGATTGTTAATTGAATTTGCTTAAACGTTAAGGTCTTCTTCACCAGCCTGTTGTATGTAGGGAGGTTTTTCCATAATCACCATATCTAGTACTAGGTTCGAAACTTCGACGCTGCTATATCCCCGCTCTGGTGTTTTACGTCTGATTTACTACTGAAAGATAAAAAAAATATATGTGAAAGACGCGTAAAGTCCGCAAACCACACATAAAAGCGATGTTTAATTTTACACTTTGATATCTTCTGTAAATGAAACGAGCACTGTGATCAGAAGTGGGTGCGGAGTTCATAAATATTTACAAGGCATTATTTCATCACGGCTTTGTAAGCATTACTTGTTTTGATCGATATACCAATATGTTATCTTTACATTATCATGAATTTGTTAATCTATCAAAATTTTAACCATCGATGTTAAATATATTTTAATTTCAAAGTATATTCATTCTATAATAATTTCTACTTCGGTTTTATTTGTGGAAAAATAAATATGTTCTGTATTTACTACTAGATTTTTAATTATTTAGTTAGTTGACACCATCATTTTGTCACCCGACCATTTTTGTCGAGTAATAGTGGTGGTTTGTGGTGGTGGTGTTAGAGAATCTATCCCCCTTTTGTTATCTGGACTTCAGGCGACAATGTTAAATACAGAAACACAGTACAAATGGGCAATGTAGAAAAGTCTTATAGCTCCCGATAGAAGGCGCTCTAACCATCTAGTTTAAAATAGACGTAAAATACCTAGTACGGTGACGGGCAGGATTGTCAAAGGTGCGAGACGTTTTGTACTACGATAGTTAATCTGCAACAGGAAGGCCCAATGTCCCGCGGTATAGGTTTTTGGGCCGATGAAGATGATACAAACAATAAAAATTACTGTATCATTATAATTTCAATTTGATTGTTTTCGTCGTATTTCATAACTATTATTACCGTATACTGTGTAACGTGATTTACTGTATAGTGGCGGTGTAAGAATATCTAGCCCATATCGCCCGAGGGTGTCGTAAAAAGAGACATAGGAGAATAAATCAGGAGATGGGCAGCAGTGTCTTTCTAATAATAATTGAAAAATAAATTGCGGTTGCCAACCTGCCTGCCCAGCGTGGCGACTGTGGCAAGTATCCACGTTATGAGGAAAGCTATGGGAAGGCCTATGTTTAGCCGTGAATTTTGATAGGCTGTTATGATTCAATAAATTAATCTTAAAACTTGGTTGATTTTCCCTTGAAGTTAATTAAAATTTTTATTATTATTTAAAAAATATGTAAGTACAAAGTAATATATTTATATGTTTACAAGAAACAAGGACGTCGTGTAATGTTCTTCCCATAGAACTTCCATAGATACGAGTATTATTTAATTTTTAAAGCACATAAAATAATTTAATAGATATGACGGTCTCACACCCTACTACGATGATAGGATTTTGATTGATTTTTTTTTATATGAGAGGGTTCAAACGAGCATGTGGCTCACGTGATGGTAAGTGACTACCGCCGCCCATGAACAACTGCAACATCAGGGGAATTGCAGATGCATTGCCAGCCTTTTGAAAAGGAGCAGGCTCTTTTCTTGAAGGTCCCTATGTCGTATCTGTCCGGAAAAATTGCTGGTGGTAATCGATTCCACAAGAAAGTGTGAGGGGGAAAACTTCTTCTAAATCGCACAGTGGTGGACCGTCAATCATCCAGATGGTATGGATGGTATCGTGAGTTTTGTCGCGATGTGCATTGGTGAAATTGAGCGGCTGGAATTAGTCCGAACAATTCCTCAGAGCACTCCCCGTGATAGATGCGATAAAATACGCAAAGAGATGCAACATCTCTACGCAGTGCCAGTGAGTCAAGCCGATTGATGGAAGTAGGAATGATATAGCCGTCAACAGGATTAATAATTATAAAATCAGATAACGACTAAGATAGCAAATAGATATTTTTTTTTAAAATTGCAGACAAATCTTCTGGTTGCAGTACAGACTGGGTTCGACACACTTTAAATACTCCGCTGGTGTACACTTACGAGTTGCGTGGTAACTCCTTCCACTGGCCTCCATCGAGAATTCAGGAACAAGGCAACGAGGTTACGCAAATGATGCTAGGACTTGCTTCCGAGGCCAGCATATTGGGATATTTATAAAAAACTAAACGTGTATAATGATTTTCACACTGATAAAAAAAATTACGGATTTTATGACCTTTTTTAAAATTAACTTAAAATTAAACTTTTATATTAAGATAAAATTGATAAAATCAATTTTGTGTAATTTGTTTAAACTCTTTCTATGTTTTTTACTTTGGCAGCTGATTCAGCCTATTTATTAATAAATTGAATTTACTCTTAAATAGTTTTTTTTGGAAGTACAACAAAACTTGTGCATCTCCCCCATTTGAATAAAATTTAGATCCAATGCCCTATTTACACTGCATATTTCTTGTATCAAAATGGCAATAATTGATTGCAAATAATTGTGCGCAATTAGACCATTCAAGAATTGAACTGTTTACATGAGGTTGATTGATACATTATCTTGGATGTTTACACCACGAAAATTTTTAACGCATGAATAGATTTTCTTTTGAGGACGCAAGTTTTTTATGTAATACTAGCTGGTACCCGGCGCGTTGTTACCGCAGAAGAAATCATTGTGGAAATATCGTTTTACATTTAGAAGAATTATATTGTTTAATTAGGAATGGTGATGATGATGATATATAACTTTCAAATAAATTAACCGGTACGATACGCGCGCCACCCAGTGACTTTCCTATGACCGTTGTAGTGTGTTGACAAGTGTAAGTAATATGTTGACTTGCGTACGTATTATAATATTCTATGATGTTGATAAAGTTTTACCGCAATCTGATGAACGGTATGTATGAAATACGAACAAACAAAAATTAATTTTTATATTTTATTAAACGTTATTCACAATATCTTGGATGCGTTATGTGCCGTTTACACTAGTGATAATAGTTTGGAATACGATACACACCAATGTCACATGAGTAAAGACCTTACTCTTTACTCTGTGCCAATGTCACGAGTGTTGTCATCTCGTGTAGGCTGTGAACCTGTCATCTCACGTTAGACGGCGAACGCGATAAATTTCTAGTGTGGTATGTTACTTAGCGTAGATTAAGATTATTAATTCTGTAATATGTCGTATACTTAAAAGTTATAATAAAGAATTTTCTTCAAATGACATGTGTACGATGCACACGTATACGCACACGCTCACGCACACGCACAGCACATACACACGCGAACGCATACGCACACGCACTCGCACACGCACACGCACATGCACATGCACACGCTCACACTCACACGCACACACACACGCACACACGCAGACGCGCACGCACACGCATACGCGCACGCGCATTCACACACAGGCGCGAACGTGCATGAGCGTGCGCACGCACCTATAATCAATATCATTAATTTTTTAATTAAGAAGCGATAGTATATATTATATTATGTATATAAAGTAAGAACCTGTAATTGGCATTAAGAATTATCTGAGACCTTCTGTTTATATTTCTAACGTGCTGTTGGTTCTATGAACAATAAAGAAAAAAAAGATAGACGTGGGTGAAGTCGCATCAGCGAGGCCCCTATTCTTTCGATCCCAAGATCTACCCAATAGATCTATCCTACGATACATTCTTTGACACGACATACCTACTCATAGCCATTAATTTCTGACAAGTCTCGTATTTCGTCAATCTAACGGTTTCGGTCTTTGAATGTAGTTACAATGGCCCTCTTAGCCGCACTTAAGAGGAGCTTCTTGCGAGGCCACAAACAAACACGCTTTTATTTATGATGTTTCTTTTCAGCGTAAAACTTATCAAAGTATTTAGTCATGTGTGGTAAAGCCTGGGGGCATCGCCCACGGCCTCGCGATGCCTCTTTAAGAGCGAGGTCGTGGGCGAGGGTCTACTTCGCCCAGTATGGTGGTGGATGACTACTAACCTGTAGTAGCTACTCATCAATAAACATAATATATTATTAGTTCGTTTTTCAATCCGTTCTACGTCATAAATCCAAGAAAACAAAATGTTTAAGCATTCATTTTGTTTTCTTCCATTCCAGACGAAAATTATTATAAATATAAAACCAAATCAAGTCTTTGTTCTGGCCAATAATTTCTTTAATAAAGAAAAACCCCTCGAGTAAACATTTTTATTTACATAATAAACGTTTTTAATATTTTTCTGTCTTTGCTAAAAATGTACAATGGGGCGTAAGCAATCTTCGGTAACGACGTTGGCACAAATGTTGTTTAATTTTGAAGGAGGGAGTAAAGGGGTGAGTAATCGCTCGCATTCATGAATAAAAAGAACCGTATATGTTATTTGCAAATATAAAAGTGTAATTTCAATGTTAATTTTAAATTCATTATTTGTAACATATAATTTATACAGTAACATATTTTTAATAGAATAAGGCAATTGACATTAACTATGAAGTGTTTTCTTTATTTGGTAGCGCTATAATAATAATGTCCTCCAGACCGAATTTCGGTCACGACGGCCAGCCTCAACGGAGATTAGCCATCGGCGCAGGTGCTACGTAAGTAGTGAAGCAATTACTTTAACTTACTAAAAGCGCACTACCTTACAAAAGCCAATTCACTCCTGCCTTAAATACACCCATATTATAATCGGATGGAAAGACAGCTGGAAGATTATTCAACTCCATTGCTGCGCGCATTATGAAAGAAAAAGTAAACCGTTTGGTTCGAATGCATGGTATGTCGGCAACAAAGACAACAAAAAGGGTGGAGACCAGCCGAGTGTCTGGCAAAAAAGACGGCAGAAAGGTGTGGGAGCAACGTTTAAAAAAAACATATATTGTAAATTTATGTTAAAAAAAAGAGTCCCGCTGGGTTTATTTCTGGTTCTTTCCAGAACAGTGGTTTTTTCCGAACAAATGTTAAAAACATTATTGACTTTTAATACCTATTGAATTAATCTACGAGTATATTGAATCAAAAAATATGTACAGGATGCAATGCTACGCATATACATCCGAGCTTCAAAACCTTTCCTTAGATCTGATAAGACTTGGGATTAGAAAAGACGCTATTAGGTTATCTTAATGCGTGCTGTCGCAACCACATGATCAATGAAATATTAAATTAAATATTTATACTAAATATTCGATTTTTGCTTTTATTACTTTTACAAAATTTGGAACTATAAATGACACCATAGTCACAGAAACTCTAGTACTATAGCAGAACGCTGCTTGATTTATACGTAACAAAATAGTTTTGTTTCCGATTTTAATATTTACACGTGATAAAGCCATACTGTAACTGTATTTACTATATTATGGTTGTAACGCGAATGGATCAGTTCGACCGGGAAAGACTTATACTCTCACAAAATACCAGCGTAAAATAGCAGCTTATAGCTGCTGTGTTTCGAATGGTGAGTGTAGCAGACCAGATATCCTTTTTCACTCGGTTTTAGGGGTGGCAATGTATTTGCATTTGGTTTCTTAATTGAAGATAGATGAAGTTTTATATGGGACATAGTAACCATCGCATAGACTGTGTTCTCGTTAGTCACCCTTATTCTATAAGAGAGATAATTTTAACAATTTCTAAGTACGATCGCTAATATATTCTCACATTTACTACACACTTTCGTAACAATCAAAACATTATTGACGTTGTAGTGTAGTTTTTTATATTTGTTATTAGAAAGATGCTGTCGCCCATCTCCTCCTGGTTTGGTTCCCTCTGTCGCCTCTTACGACACAAATGAGTCAATATGGGGTAGTAGATATTCTAACATCGGTTAATAATTTTAATAAACCTAGCAAGCTAACAGCATAGCAAAGTGGCGAAGCAATCAGCTTTGTAGCGGTTTCTAACGGTTGCCGTTGAGCAATTAGTTTCAAAATAGGAGGTTCAGATGCCTGGGTGATCAGTAATCGATTGCTGAAAACAGAATTTGAAAATTCGAAACCGTTCTCGAGATAATCGTTGGACAGACGGACAGACGGACAGACATCGTGAAATCAATAAGTGACTTCGCAAGCTTCGCCACTTAATAATTAAATATTTTACATTGATTTCATTACTTTGAAGCTTATTTGCTTTATTCATAATTTTATTATAATGTCATTAATTTTTACATGATAAGATTGTTTAAAACTTGTCTTTCGAACAATTTAGTTTCTGACTGTAATAATGATAGATCGAACTTACAATTTCTAATATCCTAGCACCACCACATGGTCTGCCATGACCACAGCATGGTCTTGTGTGTGGCATTGATATTTACACGTTGTAAAGCTATGATAGTAATACCAATTGGCGATACGTTTATAAGAATCAAATTTATGATATTTTATTAATGAAAATTTTCATAAAGGTCTAAAATATTTACAACAAATAAATTATGAATAAATCGTTTTCAGTGCCATCACCAACAATAGCTCGTCGTTTCGAAGAATTTACTTTTTCAAGGTAAATTTGAAATGGCGACAGCTCATTCCTCTTCAATGGTTTAATGGGCATTGAGCAAAATTTGTTACCCGAAAACTCATTTATCAATTTAGCAGCTATCATTATGACAGATAAGCGCAAATTTTGAACAAAATTGTTACTTTCACTACAGCTAAGTTAATCTAAATCTTAAATTATTAATTGACGATTTTATAGAATTCGTAAATTAACGTATTTCAATAAAATAAATCTTACGGATTTTATTAAGTTTTAACTTTATTTTTTCCTGGCATTTTCAGTGATTTACAACGCTCATGGTGGCGGGGGATCTGAGAATAGAATAAAATATTATTTATGCGATGTAATTCTTATTGAAAATTATTTTTTTATTTTTACCACTGGTTCGAAAAAAAAACTTCTGTCCTGGGAATAACCAGCAATATAGTTATTCCCAAATACCTACACCTATGGGTGAAAGAAAAAGAATACTTGCCAGTCCCGAGAGCCTGTAAACAAATTGCTTTGGATAATCAATTCCTGTGCAATAACGACGATGTGCTGTTGCATACAGAACAAACCTGCGTGAAACAGCTCAGGGAGTTTCAATCAAGCCTCGATGCCTGTGTATAGCATAATGTTGACATTGAAGATCCCAAAATCCAACGAATAA